CCGCCCCGTTTAGATCTCAGAAATTAGAAGAGAAAATGAAAATTGGACATCATGATATTTTAGATCATTCAAAGTTCTGATGCAACGGCTAATTTTTTTCTTTTCCGAAAGTGAACCATCTAATTTTTTAAATTATTAATGTAAGCAGATTTTTAAAAAAAAATACACCACTTTTACAACTATTTACTATTAATAGTAACAAACACGGGAGGCTCTTTAGTAGGGGAGGGAACTATTTACCATTTATTTTTAACATTTATGCAAATGATTTTAGATTTTTTATCAAAATTTTTTTTGTACATTCGTATTGCTAAGTTATGTAAGTTCTGTCATACCAACTACTACATTTACATAAAAAATATTTACTTTTCTTTAAAGAGAAAAAGATCTATTTAGTATGCATATTAGTTGGACATAATTTAAAACAACAATTAATAAGTAGTTTATCATATTTTCACGTGCACTGCAAATGTGCAATAGGATCCTAGACACCGAACTAAAGGAACTTTTTTTGAGGATTTGAATAAGAGATTCACCCTTTACAACAAAATTAAATCAATTAGATATTCATTATAAGACATCAGTTAGGCCATGTTCAAATCCAACTTCACATTCTCTTTCACCTATCCTATGGTCTGCTGGAACCCTGGGGCACCACACTGTCAGCCTTCTTTCTCCATTCTTCTTTGTCATTCGTCTTTGATAGAATTTCATTCTGATGTTCTTTCTGAAACTATTGAAACCTGCCTGGGTGGACCACTTCCACACAAACTGTCTTTGTTTTATTCATTCCTATGTTGTCTTGGACATAATATAATTTGTGCAAAGTTTCAACTTGAACCGATAATGGGAAGTGAGAGAAATATAATGTTCTTGATGTGCATCAAACAGACAGAGTGAGTTGACCAGAGTTTGTAACAAATGTAACTTCGTTATAGTATTTAAAAAAGCCTTACAGTTATCTTCTTGTTTTGTTTTCTTTCTTTTTTGTTTGATGTTGCGTGTGATGGGCTTATGAAAAATGTGTCTGATAAAAGCGTTCATTGAAGCTCTTTACCATCGCCAATTTAAAGAAATTCAAATTGCTTTGCTAAATCTATTTAGTTTTTACTCAAACTAAATCAATCTTTGACTTCGCTTCAAAATTTGGATGTTTTGGAAGACAAACTGGCAGACCATCGAATTAAAAAACAGTTAGTCATTGTCACAGCAAGTGCAATTTTTTTCCTTGTTCGATATCAAACAAAATAATTAATTACCAATAGTTGATTGGTTATTATTTTAAATTGATTCTTGTTTAGTCAGGTACAAGAAATAATGGGGCGAAATGTCCACTTGATACGACATTGGAAGTGGAAGAAACTATGTGTACACAGTTTTGACCAGACAGAGTTCGATGGTATAAGCTGGATACAAAGACAAAATTAAACTTCGATGGTATAAGCTGGATACAAAGACAAAATTAGAGTTCGATGGTATAAGCTGGATACAAAGACAAAATTAGAGTTCGATGGTATCAGCTGGATACAAAGACAAAATTAGAGTTCGATGGTATAAGCTGGATACAAAGACAAAATTAACCAGTTTCAAACAGATTTGGTTGGCTGAACATGTTTTTTTTTCAAGGACATCGGCATGACGCAAAACAAAACATGTCAGGTCCACAAGAATTAACCTGAATAAGTCTGCTCATTTTTCATCTCATCAAGAGTCTTTCTCCTCATTTAGATATGTGAAGCTTTCCAGCTCCTCGCCTTGGACTGTAATTGGTGTGTTTTTGGGCGCATTGATCTTGAACCCTTTATTACCAATTGGTTAACTAATTAATATTTCTCATTTTAACAGAATCCCACAATGTCCACTGTAGACCGTTCCGCTTGTGGTCTGTTGCGGTCTCTATATGATCTGTGCATGATCTCTCCTTTAGTATGACAGAACTTATATAACTAATATATAACTATAACTCTCCCGGAGATGTTGATCTACAGCATCTTTCATTCAGTTTAGCAGGATGCGGTTAAACACTTTTCCTGGAACCTTTCTCCATCGATAGTTGGAGCAGAAGGAGTATGATGGGGTAGCCCTCCTTCCTTGGGACCATCCTTTTTGCGGACCATTCAAAGTTCTGATACAACGGCTACTTTTTTCTTTTCTGAAAGCGAAAAAGTTAATTTTTAAAATCAATTATGCAAGCTGTTTTTTCATAAAAGTATAACATTTTTACAACTATTCACTATTAATAGTAACAAACACGTGAGGCAATTTAGTAAGGGAGATGATTATTTACCATATTTCTAACACATTAAGCAAACGGTTTAAGTTTTTTTTTTTTGTATTGCTAAGTTTTATAGGTTTTGTCACACTAACTATTTACTGTAATGCTAAGTTATATAAGTTCTGTCAAACTAACAATTTACTGTATTGCTAAGTTATATAAGTTCTGTCAAACTAACAATTTACTGTACTGCTAAGTTATATAAGTTCTATCACACTTAACTATTTACTGTATTGCTAAGTTATATAAGTTCTATCACACTTAACTATTTACTGTATTGCCAAGTTATATAAGTTCTATCACACTTAACTATTTACTGTATTGCTAAATTATATAAGTTCTGTCACAATAAGTATTTACCAAAAAAATATTACTGTTTTTTTAAAAGAGAAAATATCTATTTAGTATGCATTATGCATATAAGTGGAATAATAAATTAAAACAACAATTAATAAGTAGTTTTTCTTATTATCGCGTGAACTGCAATACAACCACTTCCTTATAGAACTAAAGGAATTTTTTTTCTCTTTATGGAAAGTTTTTTTTTTCTTGAGGCTTGAGGTCAGCTGGACCGTTGGAACACCACATAAGATCAGTCAACCTTTTTTCTCCATTTTTCTGTCATTTGCCTTAGATAGAATTTCATTCTGAAAATATTGAAACCTGTCTTTTTACCTGCCCGTGTGGACCACTTTAGGGGGCCAATTTTGAGTTTGTGTTTCCACACAAACTGTCTTTGTAACGTTGTTTTTTTTAATTGATTCATGTTTTATTAAGTACAAAAATAATTTTGTAAAGTTTCAACTTGATCCAAGACTGGGTGTAGGAGAAATAACGTGTACAAATTGTACCAGACAGACAGACAAGCTTTTCGGAAATACAGGCCAGGACTCGTTTTAATCCCAAGACAATCGCTTTAATCCCAAGACAATCGCTTTAATCCCAAGACAATCGCTTTAATCCCAAGACAATCGCTTTAATCCCAAGACAATCGCTTTAATCCCAAGACAATCGTTTTAATCCCAAGACAATCGCTTTAATCCCAAGACAATCGCTTTAATCCCAAGACAATCGCTTTAATCCCAAGACAATCGCTTTAATCCCAAGACAATCGCTTTAATCCCAAGACAATCGCTTTAATCCCAAGACAATCGCTTTAATCCCAAGACAATCGCTTTAATCCCAAGACAATCGCTTTAATCCCAAGACAATCGTTTTAATCCCAAGACAATCGCTTTAATCCCAAGACAATCGCTTTAATCCCAAGACAATCGCTTTAATCCCAAGACAATCGCTTTAATCCCAAGACAATCGTTTTAATCCCAAGACAATCGTTTTAATCCCAAGACAATCGCTTTAATCCCAAGACAATCGCTTTAATCCCAAGACAATCGTTTTAATCCCAAGACAATCGCTTTAATCCCAAGACAATCGCTTTAATCCCAAGACAATCGCTTTAATCCAAAGACAATCGCTTTAATCCCAAGACAATCGCTTTAATCCCAAGACAATCGCTTTAATCCCAAGACAATCGCTTTAATCCCAAGACAATCGTTTTAATCCCAAGACAATCGCTTTAATCCCAAGACAATCGTTTTAATCCCAAGACAATCGCTTTAATCCCAAGACAATCGTTTTAATCCCAAGACAATCGCTTTAATCCCAAGACAATCGTTTTAATCCCAAGACAATCGCTTTAATCCCAAGACAATCGTTTTAATCCCAAGACAATCGTTTTAATCCCAAGACAATCGCTTTAATCCCAAGACAATCGCTTTAATCCCAAGACAATCGTTTTAATCCCAAGACAATCGCTTTAATCCCAAGACAATCGCTTTAATCCCAAGACAATCGTTTTAATCCCAAGACAATCGCTTTAATCCCAAGACAATCGTTTTAATCCCAAGACAATCGCTTTAATCCCAAGACAATCGTTTTAATCCCAAGACAATCGCTTTAATCCCAAGACAATCGTTTTAATCCCAAGACAATCGTTTTAATCCCAAGACAATCGCTTTAATCCCAAGACAATCGCTTTAATCCCAAGACAATCGTTTTAATCCCAAGACAATCGCTTTAATCCCAAGACAATCGCTTTAATCCCAAGACAATCGCTTTAATCCCAAGACAATCGCTTTAATCCCAAGACAATCGTTTTAATCCCAAGACAATCGCTTTAATCCCAAGACAATCGTTTTAATCCCAAGACAATCGCTTTAATCCCAAGACAATCGCTTTAATCCCAAGACAATCGTTTTAATCCCAAGACAATCGCTTTAATCCCAAGACAATCGTTTTAATCCCAAGACAATCGCTTTAATCCCAAGACAATCGCTTTAATCCCAAGACAATCGCTTTAATCCCAAGACAATCGTTTTAATCCCAAGACAATCGCTTTAATCCCAAGACAATCGCTTTAATCCCAAGACAATCGCTTTAATCCCAAGACAATCGCTTTAATCCCAAGACAATCGCTTTAATCCAAGGACTCAAAGACATTCGTTTTTTGTTGGTTTTTTTTTTCTTTTTTGTAGGTCTTTGTGTGAACGAGTGAGTGTCCAGTTTTGAGGAACATAGAACTAAGAGTCAAATTCAAAATTAGGTTTTCATGCCAACATTTCTTATAAATATTGGAGTTGCAGACCTTTGGAAAACGTACTGATCTGAGAACTATATTATATATACCGATACAAACACATATATTAACTTGAAAAAAACAACAACACTTGTAAGAAACGCACTGTTTTATATTAAAATGTATTATACATTTTAGTGAATTGTTAAAGTGTTAACATTGACATAATTTTTAAAAAAGGCACCTTTTTAACCAAATGAAATCTCTAGTCATATCTTTTTGGATGGAATACATTGATCCAGTGATACCACTTGTCAATACAACTATTCCTAATACCACTGCCTTAAAACTTTGTTGTGGACATCATGTGAGCTGGCAACAAATCTAGACAATGTCTTATCCTATCTATTAAAAGGCATTCCTTATTAACAGAAGATACTTCTGTCCTATCCATGTGTCAATCTAGTCCTGCATGTTAATTACAGACTTAACTATGCTAAGTCATTGCTTTTCCAGGCTGATTCAGGCAACCCATTCCTTCCTCCAATGGTACTAGAGGAAAAGACCTACTATAACGGTAATTGGACTTTTATATTGTGCCTTGTTAAACAGTTCAAAGCATAACTATAACATGTCTAATATGTTTGACAATACACTATATAAACTATATTAAAAGCTCATTTTTTTAAAGTGGAGTGTAAACCTTTGATTTAAATCTAAAAAATATAAACAAATCTGGAGATTTTGAATTTTAGTTCCAGATAGCTAAATGTTTAGCCAAAGGGTTTTATAGAAAAGACTTAGAGTTAACAATGACATTTAATTTAATTGTTCATTCGAAGTACTCAACACTATCATGGCATGAAAAATAGATTTGACAAGAAAATGTCCATTGACTATGAGAACCTTGAATGTCTTATAGACAAGAAAATGTCCATTGACTATGATAACCTGGAATGTCTTATAAACAAGAATAAATCAGAGAAACTAATGAGTAGTTGTGCTTCTGATAAAAACAAAGTAGAAAATTATTAAACTTTCATATTTGAGAGCTGCTATGCGGTATGAAAATATGGAGTTATTCTTTTTGAATTTTTTTTTTGTATTTGTTCAACACACATTAGATTAGACCCAAAAAAAAAAAAAAGGCACACAAAAAAAAAATCAAAGTTGTACAACACAAAGGGATCTACTACTGAAGTGTACACAACTAGTTCTCTCCTCTTAGCGTCTACACTACCAATAGGTCTGGAAATAACAAACATAGGACTCTAAATTTAGGTCCAAGTAAGTGTTACAACACAGAGGTCTACTAATATTGTTGTACTAGTAGGAATACATGTTTGATGATCAGCACCATCAAATAGAACAATGGAAACAAAACTACTGAATGTTAGTGCAAAAAATAAAATCTTCTGGAAAGTTTGAGATCTCCAACTCCAATGCTTTACAATGCTGTACAATGTCCAGAACAATGCTTACCAAACTACTTTCCCAAGTTAGTGCTAGTTAGTCATTGGTGTGTCAGCTATCTTTAATTGTATTGTGGATTTATATTTCATCCAATAAATAAAATAATATAATTGAAACAATAAGTAAGTAGTGTTAAGTTACAGTATATCTTTGACATGACTAATACAATATCAGCCCTAAGCCTTTACATAAGTATCTATGTAATAGTTTCAGCAAAAAAATACAATGCCTGGTATAAGTTAATGCCAACATTATAAACAAAAAAAACAACTAGTACTTGATATTTAATGTCTGAAGATTATTACAGATTCATTTATTGAACTCTACAGCCATCAAACAACTAGTCATGCAAAAAGATGTTTCAATGGCAGTATGTATAACTATTGTTCTGTACATGTTTCATTTAAACCTATACAGCCTATAACTGCAAAGTCTTGTTATATTATACACCTATTTTTATTGAAAACTACTATCTGAAGTGAATAACTATTTTATATATATATAGTTCAACTTTTCAATTAATTGTAGATATGCTCATATACATATATATATACCAGGCTTTTTTTGTGATAGTACACACAGATCCGCGTACGGGAACCTTTTTCAATGTGGGGAAAAAATTATTACTTTTCTTGTATTTTAACGTTTATCGTTAATTTATTAGTAGTCAAAAGTTAGGCAATTCATCACTGAGTACTGGCACCTATTTTTCTTTTTATAAAAAAAAGCACTGTGTATATATATATATATATATATAAGAGCATATCTACATTTAATTGAAAAGTTGAACTACTCAACTCTAATGAACAAAATATTAACTATTTGAGCTGTACAACTCTATGATTAAAAATATAACAGAATGTTGAGATTGTAAAATGAAAGGATCACATTTCAATTGTGATTTGGGGATTTGATGTGACATAAAATTTGAACATATAGTAAGACAATATATCTACTACTAAATCATCTTTTTTTTTCATCAAATGAAATAGTCTGTTGGCTCTTAGTAACCTTTTATTTTGTTGGCCTGCTCATCAAAATTACCTTATAATGAATAAATAAAAGCAATCAAACAATGGTCTAAAGAAAACTGTTACAATCACTACTTCTCATTTTAGTTGTAAAAATATGTCATGATAGTTTTTTTTTTTTTTTTTGTTGTTAAAATTCAAATCAAAGCAACAAATTATTTTACAGGAGTCAGTCAAACAATGGGAAAAAAAAATCACTCAACCTTTACAAGAGTATTGCTCAAATGACATACAACTATGTTACAGATGAAATATTTATCTAATATACTCAAATGCTATACACATTTTGTAGTGAATGTTTTAAAAATGATTGTAAATTTTCAAAGTCTCAAAATAAATAAATTCTAAAGTACATTTATTACAAAATATTTTTTTTTTACTTACAACTAAATTCTAGAAGAAATTTATTTTTAAAAACTTTGAATAGAAAAAAAAAATTATATTTCAGTTTCAGCATCATCAACTATTTGATAATCAAGCATTTGAGAAAATATTGATTGATCTTTTGTAGCACCTTGAAATCTGGCATAAACTTTGGCCACCCCAGGGATAGGGCCAGTACTAACTTGACCTTCCCAAGCGCAGCCGATTTTGTGTTTCAAGTGATGCCAAATTTCATTGATTACAACAAATACTTCAATAGCCTGTGGAACATCCAGCCGAAATATGATTTTCTTATCAACACGAAGGTCACCAGTCAGAGGCTCGTGCAAAGTGCATCGATGCCACTTCTGATATGTTTTTGGAAACATGGCAACTGTGGGACTTGGTTCTTGGCATATAACTAAATAGCGAAAGGCACAATCCAATGACTGGGCTTCTCCTGTGATGTCTGCAGCAAATAATGAAAATATATAAAATCCAGCTTTATGACACCGGATTAGATAATTAGCTCCTGTGTCATTGCGAGATCTCAAAAAAACATATCGATCAATATCAGTAATAGATCCATCACTGACATCAAAATATTGGAAGGTGTGTGTCAATCGAATGTCTTTGCTCAGTACAAAGTTGATTTCAATAAAGTCATTGTTACACACAACCAGAGGATCAATATTGGACTCAGCTGAAATTCCCAAATTTTCCATTACAGGTGTTGGTCCAAAAAATGGAACAGGTGGATAAGGTGGTGAAGGTCGACCTTTCATATTGGTACACTGTATGAGAAATGTACAGGCGCTCTCCAAACATTCGGATTTCCAATAATCTCCAACATATATTGAAAAATAGTAGAGTCCAGAAGCAGGTAGTGCTATAGTAAAAATGGCTTCATTATTGACAAGTCTGAGAAGAGTTCTTCCTTCTATTTGTTTTGGTTCACTGGGCTGGCGATGAACTGGTTCCAACATTGAGCCAAATCCTAAAATTTTGGGAATAAGAAGTCTTACTTCTACCATTCCTGTATCAGTGTTAAGTGTTGCTCCATAATTGGAATAGAAACGGAGACCATAATTGAAGAATGGAGATTTGACAACAGGCAGATTTAGAAACTCAGAAAAGGGTAGTGGGATTTCCATAAGCTGCCATTGTGGGTCATCAGGATAATGTTGGTAAATATGATCCTCTGGATCAGTCAGGAAATAGAATTCATCATATCTAGTAAACAGAAATAAAAATTTTAATACGTTTGTAAAAAGGATTCTTTCAAAGTAATCACATTTCAATGAAATGCTATTAAAATGTGTGCAATATATCTGAGAAATTAAATGAGCAACAAAAAAAAAGTTGCAAGATGACTATTGAAATCTTTATTTTTTTGGGGTGTGGAGCAATGGTTCAGAATAAAATCAATAAAAAGTTTTAGTAGAAACAAGTTCTTTATAACACTATTGAAGGTCAAACATAAATCTGTTTCAACCATCAGTACGTACTATCTTAATGTTTAAACATATTTAAAATAGTATTTAGAAAACAATTTTAATAAAATGCAACACTTACTTATGATACATTTGAGGCAAGTTATCCTTGTGCCCTGTGACATGGCGTGCAGCCCATGTACAGTTGACCAGACGCCAGCTCCCATTAATATTGACCACTGTCCATGAGTTTCTAAATGTCTGTCCATCCATTCTCATGCCAGGTTTATAACCAGCCCCCTTTGAGTAGCCAAGAACAATTTCACAATGAAGTCCTGCATAGCTGCTCAATGAATAAAAAATATGATTCTTTTTATTGGACCTTCCTTCAGTCTTCATCAACAAGAACCTATGTCTTTTCCCAATGAACTAACTCATAGTATCATTCAATTAGATAGCAGAATAAACAGTTATTCCTTTTTTTGCAGTTAAGTAACATGATATTGTCTTTTGCTTTTTTTTTTTTTTTTTAAAAAGGAGGAACAACCTGAATTCAAAATGGTGGCTCATGCCTCCTTAGGCTGGCATGCTAATCACTCTGCTAGTGAGGCACTTATGACTAGAGGAGATTGTATAGTTATATATTGTTTGTTTCAATTTAGAACAGTGATCTATAAAGGGAACTTATTCAGCTTATACCACCACTTCAGTTAAGTACAATTTTTTCCCTTCTTTGAGATACCAAACAAAATAAATAATTACCAAACGTTAATTAATATTGGTTAATTTTATGGATTCTGGTGTTGTTAGATAAAAGAAATAATTGAGCAAAATTTCAGCTTGATCCAAGATTGGGTGTCAGAGAAATAACATGTACAAACTTTTTACCAGACAGAGTCAGTTGATATCATCTTTGTAAAAGTGTTTTAAAATTTCATAAATTTCATTACCTGCAAAGTTTTTTGTACAACTGATGGTAAGTTTCTTTTCCACTTTTGACACCTTTTAGTAGCCTGTCAGTAGCATGAGGTCTGACTATTTCATTGACTGAATGTTTGTTGACATCTTTGGCAATAACCCAGCGAAACAAAACTCTGGTCAAATTAAACAAAGTAAAATGTTAACTCAAATATCATCCCCCAATGAAAGAGGTTAACTGGTATATTTCCATATAAACAATCTGCAAATGTATACTACCATTTTATGAATTGCCTTCAAAATACATGAGAACCCTGTAAGTTCATTGTTTCATTAGGGCTAAGAACATTTTGAGGACTGTAAAAGATCAAACTCTAATAATACCAGAAAGTCATAATAAGATACGACTTAAAATATAGCCAGTAATAACTTGCATTGGTCTAGAAACTTATCAACATAATCTAACTTCAGCATCATTTTACCTTTGATGTTTAACAACCAATCAAGAATTAAAATCATAGATTCACAAGAAATAAACCATTGAATTGACATATTCTGACAGTGTTAATACATTTAATTTATGTAATCAAAAGTCCATATGACTGACTTACCTAGCTTTTTCAAGTTCAGTTTTACATGTTCTTGTTAGATCACGAACAAGATCTGTCATTGTATTATAGTCTTTGTTAGCCAACTGGTGAGAGATTTAGTTTTTAGAGTTAATCCAAAAGTTATGGAGTATACTTTAATTAGACAA